ACAGCTTCAGCCGGCTCAAGAGGGCAGCAGACTGGTGAAGGAGTGGAGGGTGAAAGCTGGGGCTGGGGAGGACAGACAGGGCAAGGATGAGGTACAGGACTGGTTCCTCCTCACCTGGGGATCAGACAGACTGCTTTTGCCATTGGTATCAGGAGAGGTGTCCAGATGTACAAAGTCTCTTGCTGCTGTTCAGAGAAAGGGTAAGTAAAATGAAGGGCAGAGGGCCTCCTGATCCCAAGGTTTTTATGATCCCAAGCCAGCCTTGTTACACACACCTGGAGTCACAAACTCATACACTTTATGAGGATCAAAAGGGTCCTTGCTCTTGTCATCAGCTAATCGCAACACTTCTTTCCGGTTCAGGGCTGACCGGAAGTTCCTCTTCCAGGTTGACAGGTCTGGCTTATCCTTTCCTGGGGTGTAGGCACCACTGGCTTCGGCCCAGGCCTGACAAACCAGTGATTCCAGAATAGGAGGGGAAACGACTTAGACTCTGCCTTTAGGTCCTGACACCTCCCACCATGTTCCATCTTGTGGTTTGAGACTGGGCCCCTACACCTTCCATCCTCATCTTTATCTACTATTTCCTGCACCAAAAGAAATCCTTTTTAACCTGGCAGTGGTGGCGCATGCCTTTAATCCTCAGCATTTGGGAGGCAGAGGCAGGCAGATCTCTGTGAGTTGGAGACCACACTGGTCTACAAGAGCTAGTTCCAGGACAGCCTCCAAATCCACAGAGAAACCCTGCCTCGAACCCCACCCCCAAATAGCTTTTAAAGAAAAATAAGCTCAGTTTTCAGTCATCTGTATCTGGGGTTTCTTTTGAATTAGTGACAACTAAGGTACTTGTGGATAAAGTATTTGTTAATGAGATTGTTCCTAAATTATCACAGCTTGAAAATCAGCTATCTCAATCATCAGTGTTCTTATTTTGGGGCCTGAGATTGTTTTGCCTGTAAATTGGAAAGCTTGAGCTATTTGATTTATAAAACTCCTTTTAATTTTAATATCTTATGAGAACCTACAAAAAATTTCAGATCTAAAATATGTAAAGTGAGAGCAGAAAAAGCAGTGATAAAATGAGAAGAATTCTGAATCAGAGGGAGCTTTTCCAAAGTTCTTTCTAAGGACACATTTAGAGCCACTAGTTGTTTCAAAGCTTTGAAATGGCTTATGACCTACCCAAGAAGATTTAGCTATGAGAACTTATATTCAGACATAAAAGCTAAACTTCTCAGGGCCCCATCGCAATCATAGGTCATGACTTTTTGTCTCAAAGAGCCAGGTATCCATTTATAGTAGTTATACAAAAAGGTGACTTGGAAGAAGACTTGGAAGAAGAGAGTGCTAATGTTTGTAATTAATTCACACAGGGTCATGTCCTTGTTCGATTGTCTAAGGCTAAGCAAGTGATACTATCAGTGAGTAAGGTGAGTTAAACTCATCACCAGGGACTGTGCTGATACATAATAAAATGTGAAGCCACTTGGTCAGGGTTAGTAAGAATTTTCTGCCACAATCTACTTATTCTGTAGCTTTGGTGACACCCAATTTAAGGTCCCTGCTTAAATGCTTTTAGGAATTTGAGGGTTAAATTGGTGGGTTAGTAAGAATTTTCTGCCACAATCTACTTATTCTGTAGCTTTGGTGCCACCCATAAGCACATCTCCTTCAATTTGAGAGACTGTAAGAAAAAATGCTGACAGAGACATGCAAATCCCCCAATAATTCTAAATTATGGAGTTCCAGAACAGCCAGGGATACATAGAGAAACCCCACCCAAAATTATTTTATGTCTATGGGTATTTGTTTGTATGTGTGTATATGCACCATATGTATGCTTGGTGCCCGTTGAGGATAGAAGGGAGTATTAGATTTTTGGAACTGGAGTTATAGATGATTCTGAGATGCCATATGGGTGCTGGGAATTGAATCTGGGTCCTGTAGAGGATCAACTAGTGCTCTTAACTCCTGAGCCTCTTCTACAATCTCTATTCTTACTATTAATGCACCTGTGTTGGGAAGAAGCATGTACCCCAGTGTGCATGTGGAAGTCAGGAAGTAGCTATATGGAGTGTTCTTTTCATCCACCTTTATGTATGTTTTGGAGATTGACTCACTCTCACTTTACAAGGCTTGAATGGCAAGCACATTTGTACACAGAATCATCTCATTGGCTTCAATGTGCCTATTTATGAGGTATGATATGATATTTTTAATGTATTTTAGAATGATTCAATGTTCGTAATTATATAGGTGAAGTTCATTGAACTTATTTAATTTTCCTGAAAACAGGGCTCCAATCACCTGAGCAACTGATTACCCAATACCTAGGGGTGGTGAGGCAAATGAATATACTCAACACTGCTTTGGAAATAGAACTTTAGGGACTCAGCTATGGGATCTACTTCATGACTCTAGAGGCAGTTTTTCATAGAACAGATGCTATCTTCTTACAGTTCCCCAAGGAACCATCTGGAAGGATGCTATTTCTACAAATTACAACCCAAAACATTTCCCAGTAGAAGTATTTGTGATGAGAAAGTCACACTGTGTCCTAAAGGTGCCAAATACAGAGGTGAATCATATATAATCATAACATGCATAAAATCATAATTAAAAACAAAAGATTCTGTGTTTTATTAAATTAATTACTGCTTTCCTGTTTGGCATTTGGACAATTTCTGAGCCTCTTTAAATCTTTACTGTCTAAAGGGTACCCCTCCCCATGAATACCAGTCTACTAAAGAAATGGAAGGTCCCTGCTTAAATGCTTTTAGGAATTTGAGGGTTAAATTCAATGTGTTTTCTCAATCAGAGTACTTTATAATGCAGTTATAGAGTATGATTTTCTATGTAAAGAACAAATAGCAAAACGCTGGATTTAAGTGTGTGGGAACATTAAAACCATGTACCTGAAACATCTGCCTCAGACACCTGAGAACATGTCAGAGCCTTCTGTTATTCTCAGGCTTTGCTTCACATTGTAGTCATCAGTGAATGTAAACAAAATATGCTGGTATCTGGCTCCTATACTCAGACATTCTGATTTAATTATTACACACTCAAATATGAACCTCTGGATTTTAAAAGCTCCCAAACGGATTCTTAATGACAGTGTAATTAAAGCATAACTATTCTAGAGTCTCCTTGTATTGTCCATGTTCAGGAGAGTCTCAGTCAAATCAGTGAACACCTTTGCAGGTCATTGTTATGATGTTTTCTGTCTTCATATTTGAAAATTTATTTATAAGAAGGATGTAGACCATGGGACTTGGAACTTTTAGTTTGTGGCACCACACACAGGGAGTAAAGTAGTACTAGACTCCCAGAGAAATCTTTTCAGGAATTGTCTTCAGATATGTTTTGGAGGATTACTTGTATGAGAATGTATTGAGATTATCATGAACAATATAGATATCTACTTCCTATGATGGATACACCATGACAGAATCCATGGAGGTAGTCTTTTTTTAGTATTCACCCTTCAGAGAGTTTTTGAGAATTTCTCATATACTTTGAATTTTCAGACCAGAGATGTGGTGAAGGCTGTAGTCATCCAGGGGAATTTTCTAAAATTTACTTATAGACATTAGTAACTTCACTGCCTACTCACTCCTGAACTCCATAATACTTGTGAATACTAGTGAATCCTCATTTGATTCACTCTATGCTTTTTTGAACTGAAATATATTAATTAACAAATTAATGAGTTTCACTCTCTCTTCTCTGTATCTCTTGAACCAAGGTCTTGATGTAATTTGGTTTCCATGTGTGGCCTTGAATTCCCAATAGTTAGGAGCCAATAGCTCTGCCTTCTGAGCTCTGAAATTACAGGTGTCCACACCACATATACCTTGGCATTTTATATATGTATATAATATGCTTTGATCATATCCACTAAGCAGTGAACTTTCACAGTCACATATATCATCAGCATGCCATGGTCATGGCAAGCAAGAGCTCATCCTTAAGAAAGAACATCATTTTCCAATCAAGTCATAGTTGGTTAGAATGGCATCCAAGTGATATCTTCCAAAAATATATTCTTTCTGTGCAAAGCAGGAAGAAGACAAGTCTAGGAACAAGTTATTTATTACACTGTGCAGAGAGTTGGCAAGACATGTCATGGGAATTTGAGAGTTTGAAATTAGAGAGCTACTTTCAAAGATATTAGATACCTTATTAGGAAGTCACAAAATCATGTTCCCTAGAGAGTTACCCCAGGAGCTAATTAGACTTCAGCACTTTGACAGTGACTACAAGATAAGATGCATATCAAGCTTCTTATATTCAGAACACTTGGAATAGAAGGTTTAGGGATACTTGCTGGTCCCCTGCGACATACTATTGTGGTAGGAATCTGCAGCAATCTCAGGAAACTGGGGCCAAGGATATTGATTTGGTAATGTTCAGAGGGAAGAGAGGTTCCTTCCTTGCAGTGAGGTTAAGACATAAAAGAACTGGGTGTCACCCATCTCAATCATAGTGGTGGTGTGACTATGAGAAAGTGCTGCATTTTTAGCAAGGAGAAGAAAGTAAAGGGAATTAAAGACAGAAATGAAGTATGACTTGCCTACATCCCTGCATGGTGAACTGGATGCATGAACCACCTGGAACAGCAGGCCACAAATAGCAACACCACAACAAGAAAGGCACCAGCAAAATTCAGGTAAAGAAAACTCATAATCTGTGTATCTACATTCTTGTTTTCTTTGTTGCTAACTCCTACAGATTAGTTCATCGCTGGGCTGACTCTAGCAGCATTTGTTGTTCAAATTACCAAAGTCATTCTTTTCAGCCTTGTTGAAGAACTTTTTCAAGGGCTACATAAGCCATTCATTCAGACTTCCTCACTAGGGTTCATTAATACTAGATTGCAGAATAGTTTGTTTTATTCTCCTTTCAAATATATATGTTGTTTATTATTAAACTACTGTTATCTTAAGGCTTTGAGAACAATCAACCAATCATCATGGGGTTTTGTAAGATATTTGTAGGAATTCAGTGTCTACTCTCTTGGTTGTAAGGCTAAAGCGTGTGTGTGTGTGTGTGTGTGTGTGTATGTGTATGTGTGTGTGTGTATAGAGTCTTTATCCAGTTTGAAATAGAACAACGTGTGTGTGTGTGTGTGTGTGTGTGTGTATGTGTGTGTGTGTATGTATAGAGTCTTTATCCAGTTTGAAATAGAACAGCAGCTGTCTATAAAGAATTCATGCAGTTAAACTGAAAACAGAAATATTTCTACAAGCAGAGTCTATTGCTGATTAATAATGCAGATATTTTGTCTCATGCTGTTTTGTTTACAGAATATAGAATGCTCATTTGGACAATACTGGTGAAAGAAATTTGCTGGTTACTCAACATAATTTCATTAATTGGTATGCCACATTTGGAAAGAAGACATTTCAAGGAATTAAAAGTTACCATATACCCTTAAGAAGAAATATGACATATATTCTAATCCCTTTGATGATTAGCATACAATATTATTATTATGATGAGTTCTCATTGTGTTACTTATGCAAAAATGTTAGGCACTCAAAAGTTCCGGGGATTAGACACAAATTTAGACACAAGCTTATTCTTGGGAGCATCCCTTTGTGTTACTTGTTTTGGGAGACAGGGATTAAATCTCTGGTAGTTCACCTCTATGACAATAATTGAACCAAGAAGATTTCT